TTGGACAATTTTTTTACAAACAAAAAAATTAGTTATTAATGTATTTATGGAGCTACCTCTCTCTTCTTTAATAATTCCATTTCTTTTATCCAATTATTCTTTTTCATTTATCTTTTTATTTACTTTAATAATAAGTTACATATTGATAAACTTAACTAAACACACATAAATAATAATCTTTTTGTCAAGTATACAAAATATAAATAAGAAAACAGAGAGTGACATATATCACATTTGTTCAAATAAAAAATATCTAATTAAACCTTATGAAGGAAATTTTCTACTCATTTCTACTAAAATTGAATGATAAGTTACATTTTGATGAGAAGATTAAACAAGCATACACATAAACAATGATGATTTTGTCGATTAAACAAAATATAAATGTAAAGAGAGAAAATAAAATTTGACATTCAACTACCTTTGGAAATTAAACTATATTACTTTAGCAAAATATTATTGTTGACGAAATACTCTCTTATTCGTGAAGTATATGTCTATAAAATAAAAAAATTATTATTTAGCAAAATATTAGAGTATAATCTTGATCGAGTAGGTACAGATATTAATTTAAAAATGACTTATTATTCATTCAGATCATGTTCTACCTTAAACTTCTCAAATGAAGAGGAATTGCATGTAGGGGCGGAGGCAGAGTAGAACTGCCTGGGCCCCGGGACCCGGGACCCACTCTACATATTGTCCAAAAAGACAAAAAATAAGGAACGTTTGAGGGCAGCCAACCAAAATAGAAACCAACATCACTTCCCTCCCAAAATAGCTTAAAGCATTTGCCCGTAGGTAATCAGATATTTTGTGATAAATTGAACATTAGTATGTATATACACAAGAAAAATTTTATAATGCTATAAAACATTTATATTTTTGTTTTTGTTTTTATGGTACAATTTGAAGTTGTACATTTAACGTTATGGTACAATTTGAGATTTTACCTTTAATTTATATTTTTAACGTTATGCTAAAAATTCAAATTGTACTTTAAAGTATAGTAGAAGTACTCATGTAGACAAAACTAAATTTTACATAAACAAACAAGTCAAACATAAATCTAATTGTTTATTTCAAAATTCAAATCCCTAATTTGTTATTCTACAACTCCTTCCCAAACCAAGCTCAACTACCCCCCAAACTCTCGCCTAATCTGCCCACCTCCCGTCCTGTTGCAGACGATCATCTCCCGATCTCCGTTGGTCTTCTGTTGTTGTATAGTAGCTATTAGCTAAGTTGGATGATGAACGTATTTTTGAAACTTTTGAAAATACGTTATGAATATTGTAAGTATTAAATTTATTTTGTATTAAAAAAATATTTTATAGTTTTTCATTTTGGACCCACCTAAGTCAAATCCTGGCTACGCCCCCGATTGCATGTACAATAATTTTATAATATGTCCTAAGTTCACATTAATAATATTTTCTCTATATCATGTTTGATTGAGCAAGCTCTATTGAGGTCCTAAGTCATATGCTAAGAAATTTTCTTTCAGACTTGGAGTTATAGTCGACGATTATAAATCAAAATTTTCAAAATGGCTTAAGTATGATTGTTGACGAACTTTGACTTCATACCCTAGGATGAGACACAAGATTCATTGAAAAATAACATATGAGAAGGTTAGAGAAGTCTTTGTTGAGAATCTACGATAAACATCACGTTTTATCAACTAATAACCTAGGCACTTACCAAATAAAGGTTGGTAGCTTTTAGTAAGATAGTCATTTGGGATAAACATATTTATCCAGAAATCAAGTATCTTTATCCAATCATCTCAACTCTCAAAATTGGTTGCCAGTTCGCCAAACTCGAGAAACACGAATTGATATATGTTGTATAAGATAATAAGTTAATGCAAATAATCAAATGATAAGACATTTTAAATGCAATTGAAATATGTGTGTATAGTAGACACTCTTTATCAATTTTTAATATATAATTGATAAAATCTTTGAAAATTACACATTCAACGACCATGTTAAGCCAATATATAAACAATGACCACTGGTTGAGGTTTAGTCTAAACTTCAAGAATTAACAATTGATACATATTATATAATATACTAAATTTAAGTGTCTTGATAAAAAAAACTAACATCCAATATGAAAATGAGTCGAGATTAGAGGATTTAATCATCATGAGGGCTACAATGTGTGTCAAGTTTCCATATGGATTAATAAATTGATCCAATAATGAAGTATCTTTACCATTGGTCGAGAGTTCTCCAAACTCTAGGATCATGAATTTGTATTGGATTTTCAATTGACCATACCTCTGATCGCAACCATAGGTTACAAAGAACAGTGAAAAGAAGCCCCAAAAAAGCATAAAAGAAAATAACCTCCGATACGATGAACAAAATAAAACCATATCAAGCTATGATCATGTCATCCCTGCCCTTTTATTCTCTATAAAGGGGGCTACGAGAGAGGGTAAGAAATAAATAGCATGATCTTAGGATTGCCTCTTTATATATTACATATCGAACGATAGACAACCCCAATGGTTTGTGACGTTAAGGGGGTAACAGCGGGATCTCTATCCTGGGGGTGGGGGATAGGCAAGTAGCACTTTTAATATGAGTATTAGGTGAGATAGGATAGGTATGACGAAGTATCTGGATAATTTCGAGTCTACTATACACACACACACACACACACACACACACACACACACACACACACACACACACATATATATATATATATATATATATATATATATACAATATCAAGGGGTGAGTTCTACGATACCTAGAGTGAAATTTAGGGTACCGCATATCTTGAGTATGAAAATGTTACTCATGCCTTGAATTGACTGATCTTTCAGACATGATACTATACTCCAACTCTTAGAGATCAAAATCTAGGTTTTAATTCTCTATATCTTATACCCCAAGATCAATTTAATTAAAAACAATTATCAACGGTTATAATTCGTCCAAATATAGGCAAATAATGAATGCATCATCTTAGGGTTTATAGTTTATAATTTAGATAATTAGGACCTAGGATTCACTCATTAAGGGTTAGGGTATATTATTCGGCCCAAAAATCCTGCTAATTCAAGGTCTGTATAGAGTTTTCATAATTCAAGGTATGTGGTACCCAAGATCTCACACGGGATACCGCAGAAGCCCCCCAATGTCAAGGTATACTATACTTTTGATTTTACTCAAGATACGATAAAAGATTTGTATAACGAAGTATGTGCATAAATTAGAGGTTAGAGAATTAGAGACTGGAGTTCACCTATTAGAGGTTAGGGTTTAGTATCACGCAGCAAAACACTCCGATTAATTCGGGGTCTAAATAGTAAAACTCAATGATCGTATGGTAGCATACTCCTGACGCACACTAGCTTGAACTATATCTGTGTGGGTGTGTGGTTCAGGTTGACGTACGCTAAATATTAGTGTTTTGGTTGACAAATTTTGACATAAGTTCTAAATGAGACGTGATAGTGACAACATTTATGATTAGAAAACCGGAGCATCATAAGTGAGTGTGCTAAATATTGAAAATTTTCAATATAGACATACTACAAACTCTGTTATGAATAAAGAACACAAAATATTTAGAAAATTCAAAATGATTTAAACATATAAAGAAGTTACTTAATATAAGTTATAAAATAAATCTATCCGGCCAACGGGCCGGGTAAAAAGCTAGTTACCCCTAAAGAATCGTAATCATAAGTTTAAAGGTAACGAGGATGAAAAGTGCAGATATAGTTTGTCACGAATAGGGGTGGAAATCGGTACGATATCGATATCCCAATACCAAATATCGAAATCTCGAATACCAAATTATATCCTAAAGTCAACCCCAATCCTAATTCCTAAATAATTTTGGTATCCTAATCTCAATCATAAATATTTTGGTATCCCAATCAGTATTATCGAATACAAAATTAATTACCTTTGCAATTAATAATTAAATATATAAATGAGATTTTATTGTTTACTTTAGGGAGAAAAGACTAAGCAAAGTGTCTTGAATTAAGATATTATTAAGGAGAATGGAGGAGAGGAGACATCTCAAGTTCTTGTTATTGGTAATCGTTAATTTGACGAACTGGAGGTTGAGAGACGACTATTAATGGTGATAGAATGATCTATGTATATTAATGACACTCTTGGTGGTTTAGGTTCGTGTAGTAGTGAATGAGAGATTCTAGTTGAGAGGATAAAATACACACTATCTTATATTTAGGTATTGATCAGTATTTGGTATATACCAATCTCAATCCCGTAATCTCTAATACCAAATAACAATTGAAATTCAATCCCAATCCCAAAAAATAATACGTGTATTCGGTAATACCAAATATAGACAAATTCGATACGGTATTCGATATATCTCAAATACCAGTACCAAACTTCCAGCCCTATTCACGAAGACAACCTTTAAAAGTTGACACCATAATCCATTCCCCATTGAATCGAAAGGTTAAAAAATTCGAGAACCAAAATTAAAATTGGTCATAAAATGGAGGAGTGGAAACTATCAATTTTTCCAGCCTAGTTATTCTGCTAACTTGAAAATTCGTTAGCATATACTAACTAATATTCAAAATGTATGAACTAATATCCCAGTCTGTTGAGTATCTAGATAGTACATACTCGTATTCAAAACATCACAAACTAGTATTCAGATAGCATATACCAACTAATATCCACAATCAACCAACTAGTATTCAATATGGATACTCTTATGTGTTATTTGGATACTCTTATGTGTTATCTAGATACTAATTATGTGATGTATGTATACTATTCTGTGTTGTCTAGATATTAGTTTGTGAATTTGGGATAATAGTTGATTCATGGTGGATATCAGTTAGCAAATTTTGAATACTAGTATGTGCTCTCTAGATACTTTAGTACTTGGATACTAGTTCATGTATTTTGGATATCAGTTAGTATCTGCTAACGAATTTTCAAGTTAGCAGATTAACTTTCTCCCAATTTTTCTAAAAAAAAAAACTATCAATTTGTCGGCAATCGAAAGGGGGCGAAAATGGCGGTCTCTTGAATCTTGATTTTTCCGTTGCCGCCATTACCATCTCCGGAATACGAAATAATCGAAACCCCCTTCCCTCTCCTCTTCCCAATATAAGGGGGAAAATCAATAGTAAGGAAGACAAGAAACCCTAGAGAAACCCGACTGACCTCATAAAATCTAATCAAATTCAAATTTTTTCCAACTGCTCCAAATCGAATTCAAGATGAAGTCAAAGCGGAAAGCATCTGTCCATGCCAATCTGTTATCCGCGAATGGCGCTGCGGCGGCGGATGATCAGGGTCAAGCTGGCGGCGGCTTGGCGGGGCCGGCTAGGGACGACGGTGCTGTTGAGATTTTAGCGAATCGAGATGGGGATGAGGGTAAGCTGGAGAAACCCGAGGAGGTAGTAGTAGAAGATGGAGAAAGAGAAGCAGAAGCAGAAATGGAAAATGATGGTGATGGTGAAGAAGCAGCAGCCGGAGAGGAAGAGGCGGCAGAGGAAGACGAGCAGGATGAAGGCCAAGATGAGCGGCCGAAGCTTGATGATGGTTTCTTTGAAATCGAAGCTATTCGGCGTAAACGGGTTCGCAAGGTCTAATTTTCTTCTCATTTCCTCATGCATTGCAGATGCCAGTAGCGTTTTGCAATTTGTAAATCAATTAGTGTTTGTTGAAAGCAATTGTGGTTCGTAAGTGCTTCCGAGTGCGAAATGTTTTCTTCACGGTGTCAGGATCATTTTGCATTGGTGATTTTGTTGACGGTTTACAGTCTCTTTAACTTGGTTGAGAATTGAGATGATGGTGCTAATGGGTGTGTCCACTTTTTTTTTTTTTTCATCAAAGCAGGGCCAGCTTCAGTATCTCATTAAATGGTGAGCTCCAATATCTCTTTCTTTAAGATCTTTCACAGAATCCTACCTTGTTTGCCTTAATATCTGCGGTCCTTGTATTGGCAAACTAATGGATGGTGGGTCGCAATTCTTTTCCCCCTTGGTTTCTGAAGGCGAGGCTGGCCAGAGACTGCCAACACGTGGGAGCCTCTAGAAAATTTGCAGGCTTGTTCTGATTTTATTGAAGCATTCGAGGAAAGGTAGTCTCCCTTCTCTCTCTTTCTTATGTTGACTGTCTTTGTTAGTGTTCATGGCCAGTAAATTTCCTAAAGGTGTTTGATTTTGTCTATTGGAATCTAAAGGCTAATTTGTTTCTTTGGGGATCATTTTGTCTTTAAGTTTATATATATTTTACAAACAATGGATCTCTTGCTTACAGGATGCAATCTGAAAAATCTATTCGGAAAAGGAAACGCAAGTCTGGGGGCTCTAATTCGCAGGGTAAGAAGAAGCAGTCGCGTGCTTCATCTGCTAACAATCTGACAGGTGATGATGTCAGTGCAGCTGACAGAAGCTTACCCTCGACCTCTCTGAACACATCAGGCCTTGCAAGTCTTCGAGCACACACTCGTGAAGAAGAAAGTGATGAAAATGGCACCAATGTCCAAGTTGCCACTCAAGCGGGTGAGAGCTGGTGCACTAGCCGCCCAAGACTTCAATTGGGCGTGAAGGATGATACTGAATATGATCCAAAGCTTAGTGAACTGAGAGGAACGGCAACATCAAATGATGTTAATGGAGATCAGATTTCTGTTCAGTTTGTTGATTCCAAGGCTCTCGAAGTTGTTGAGAATGGGTCGTCTCTCAAGGTTGATTCGGTAGACCCTGTTCAAACCAACCGTAGAACAGGTGCTAAGAGAAGGAAATCAGAGTCTGTGAAGAGATTTAAAAAAGATCCAGCCTCTTTTGAAGCTCCTCTCGTAGATAATTCAGCCTGTAACATCTCTCTCAGCTTTGAAGGTGAGATGACTGAAGCATCTAAAATCATCAAGATTCTCAAGCCGGTCAGCTATTCAGCTTCTTCATTTGACAATATTCAGGATGTGGTGGTAACGTTTGCTGCAGTGAGGTTGGTCCTTAACTATGTTTGGAATTAGTTTTCCTTAGAACCCTTTTCGGACTTGTGTAGATCTTTTGTTAATTGTTCCTTGTGTCTACCAATCACTAAATAGTTAGGTGTCGATTTGGGCTGTCTGGTAACACTCATATGGAAGAAGACAACAGTTCTTCCTAGAGAATAATTTAGTCTTAAAAGAAATAGAGAATGGGCCATATTTATGATGATCATTGGCATGCTTCATTCCTTATGTTCTCCTGAGATTGGGATTTCCAATCTATTGCTATGTTGTCTTTCAGAGCTTGAATGGCCGAACACCCAAAGAATGTGCATGCCTGGAACCTGTTGCGTCTTGCTTTGTTTTCCCGACCTAGTCACATGAAAGAGAACTAAGTTGGAAACTGAAGATTTTTGTGTATTGTCGAAACATTAGGCACACTAGCTACCAGTTCAAAGTCTGCCCGTCTTTCTGTATTTAATTTAGCTGAAACATGGGTTTATTCTATTTCTTCAGGTCTGATGGCAAGCAAGTACTTGTGAATAACAAGTTTTTGAAGGCTAATGATCCACTGCTGGTAATTCAGAATTGATTTGATTGACTTCTGTGCTGCTAGTTAATATATGAGATGGCTTCATGCGATGATGCACTGACATCTTCTCTCTTTCCTTGCAGTTGATAAATTATTATGAGAAGCATCTCAAGTATAGTACATGAAGGGTAAAGAGGAGGGAAATTGAAGTCTATCTCAAATATGATATGATTTTTGTATTTATAATTTTGTTTATATGCCTTTACCCTCAGGAGAACTCTGCAGGAAAACCAAACCCGTTGTAGTTTAGCTTGCTCTAAAATGTCAAGTTATATATCTGCCGTGTTATCTATATGAGTTATTAAGATTAAGGGAATAGGGAATCTACTCCTATTTGTCCTTTTTCCCCTTAATTCAACAGTGAATAATTTTCTTTACTCCATGTTTTATTTTCTGATTATACTAGTTTCTGTACGGGAAACACCTACAAAGATAGTGACTTTGGACTCCCATTAGTTTGTTTCATTAGCCATGCAGATAAGATTCCGTGATTTGTTTGATTTAAGAGTCCAAACTATAGGTTAAATATGATGTTGTCAGAATTTCTGATAGTCATTTCAACTGCAGCAAATATTGCCGCCTCCTCCCCCCTCTTCCTTCTCTGTCTCTGGATATCCTCAGCAGGGTGCAAAATGAGCAGCAGCAGCGGTCCATCACCAGTGCTACCTTTACTTCTGGTGGGAGCCTTGGGAGTGGTGATTCTTGCCCCGGCATTCATGACAGCTGCCGACGTGTTGCTGTTTCTGCTTCTACCCAGTGGCAGTGAGAGCTCTGGTCTGTCTCCTTTGGTCCTGATGGCGATCCCCGTTTCACTGGTATTGTTTATGCATTTGATTTCATGGTGTTTGCCCATTTATGGAGTCTGCCGGGACGGAAGATGGCAGAGCGAAGAGTCATCTGCATTTGGCGACGATGGCGAAAGTTTTACTCTGGGAGCGTTGATTCTGATTCTCTTCTTCTTTGTCTTGTATGGCCTCTTGAGCTGGTAAGCTTGCCTTAACAAAGCTTGAAGGTTGTTTGTTGAAGCTCTTTGCTAGGGTGAGTAGTTGAACTTGATGGGAGTTGCTGAAATCGTCTTCTGGGTGGGGTGCGGACAACTATGGCCTGCAAATTTTGGGTATGATAGTGGATGGAGGCAAGGAGGAATCCAACTGAAGACGACGACGACGAAGCAGGCTATTTGTTTAATCGAAATTATGTTTTGGTTGTTGAGTTGAAATGTTCTCTGTTTCGATTTTACTTGTCCTTTGTATTTTGGTCGCTTACGAGGGGCCCTCTTAATTCATTCTAACCGTAAACCCGCAAATGCAATGCTTTGATTGGTAACTTCCGTCTATGCATGGAATGGGGCAATGGCGGATTTTCATCCTCATTTTCAAATACTCAAACTCATACTCGTCTCATATTTATCTGATGGAAGGTTTCACAAATCTATTTTCATACCAGCGGTTTTCGAATACTCATGGATAATACCTGTCCCATCAACTACTCATCATTAATAGAAGAATATGGTGACAAATATGGATACTACATGCCCAAAATTATGGCACTAATACGTAAGAGGATGAATTGCGGTTTAGTTGCCATCAATTACATTTTAACATTTTGTTTTTTCTTTTAATTACCTTCATTTTATTGACAAGTTACAATAAACTCCTTATATTTTATGCATATGACATAATATCCTTGGTGGGGTGGGTTGGTTTGGGTATAGGTATGGTGCGGGGGAGTCCCAAACCATACTCGCCCCCATACCCATCAACCTTTTTGCGGGTTTTACCCATACCAGCCCCATACACAGTCAAAGCGAGGATTCCCCGCGATGACTGGGTCAGAGTGGGTCGGATACCCGTGGCCATGAGTTTGGTTGCTAATTGCTATCCTCTTTGGGGCACTCACCTGACAACCCATTGAAAACCACCGAGGTCCTCAGCATCTGAATGATAGAAGTCTTCACCTCAAAGTTGTTGGCAGCAACTTGAGGATGTTGTATACTAGACCTCAAATCCTCGGCCATAGGGGTCAGGTAGAACCCCATAATCCGCTCCTCTGGCTGTGGTTGAACCCCATTCACATCCCCCACTAGATTAATGGGTCAACCATTGCTTCTTCCTCATCACTCTCTGACCCTTCTGTGATGATAACCTGGCCCAAAGGAAAGAGATGTCCCGACTGGCTACGAGTCATGCACTACCTGCACATAGCTAGAAGCAAAACCTGTGAAGGCACAAGATTGAAAAAAGAAAATGCAAAAAAGTAAATGTTAGAGTAACAGATTTTCACGTTTCCTCATTAACCTAGCCGTTCTCGACAATGGCGCCAAAAACTTGACTCGCCTTTACTAACACAACTAAATCACGACCAAGTGTAATCACAATCTAGGAATCTAATATAGTGATTCAGGTTCTAGATGTCAAGCCGGTCCGAAGTGTACTAGTTACTCGGTGAAGTTATATTATCTAGCGACTGAAGTTGTATTATCTAGCGAATGAAGTTGGTTGAAAGCAAAAGTAGAAAGAAACTAAGTAAACGGTTGTTCTCAAATTAAGAGGACTCACTCAAGTATGAGTCCCCCTAGGTTGTACTTACGCCAAATTGTAATTCACTCAATCCAATTCGAATGATATTTAAATTGCAGAAAGTTCTCAAACAGTCTGGAGTCTTGATAAAGTTTTCCAGACACTCTTGTTTAGATTATCTGGGATCAGGAGTGAGGAATAGGAATTAGTCTGTTGGTTCAGTGGTGTTAGGGAACATAATAGGAGGGGGATTAGGGAGTGAGGCAATGGAATCAGTCGGTTGGTTCAGTGGTGTTTGAAAAGGGAAATGATGTTTGTGGAATCGGACATCCCTGGAGGTGAAAATGTCATGAGTTGAAAGGTCATAGATTCTGTAACCTTTAATGCCAGGAGTGAAACTAAGGAAAACACCATTTCTAGCTCTAGGATCAAACTTGGTTCTGTGGTTCACTAGGGTGTTGGCAAAGCACAAACAATCAAAAACTTTGAGATTGCTGAGGTCAGGAGGTTTGTTGTGGAGTTCTTCAAAGAAGTCAAATTGTCTAGAACCGGGGTGGGTACTTTGTTGATTAGATAGATAGCATGTTTGACACAATCTCCCCAAAAATCAGAAGGAAGGTTGGCTTGGAATTTTAGGGCCCTGGCAACAGCCAATATATGCTAGTGTTTTCTTTTAACTTTACTATTTTATTGTGGAGTTTCAACACATGATTGTTAATGAGAAATGCTGGTTTGTTGAAAGGAATCTGTCATTTGAAATTCTTTACCCTGGTCACTCATAATCCCTTTAACAGTTGTGTCAAATTGTCTTTGAACATAATTACAGAAGGCTTGTAATTTTGGTATGGCCTCTAATTTTGCTGCTAAAAGAACTATCCAGGTCATTTTGGTATACTCATCTACAATGGAAAGGAAGTATTTAAATCCATCATGGCTGGGAACATGATATGGCCCCAAATATCCACATGTATTACCTGGAAAGCTTTTGCAGTAATAGTAGAGCTAGTAGGAAAAGAAAGTCTTTTATGTTTGGCAAAATGACAGACCTCACAAGGTAAAGTACTATAGGTCTCTATGGATGTACAAATTTGTTTCAAAAGAGGGACTTTGAAATGAGAGACATGTCCTAGTCTGAAATGCCATAGGTCAAAATCTTGAGTACTAGCAGCTGAGATGTGTTTAGGATGGTGGTCTCTAGGGGTGTTGTCTATGAGGTAAAGGCCATGGAATAGTTTAGCAGACCTAGTCATCCTCCTAAGAATGTCAAACAGAGGGATTTGTTCTTGGTTAGTTTGCTGACTGACACAAGATTGAAGCTGAACTGGGAAACAAATAGCACTTCCTCAAGTACCAGGACTGCAACACATTTGACAGTTCCTGTGTGTGTGGCCTAGACTTGTTGCTTAGTTGGCAAGGTAATGTAAACATTATCAATTCTTCTATGATTGTGTAGGTGGATAAGAGAACGCACTATATGATCTGAAGCCCTGGTATCAAGTATCCAGGCTTGTCTATAAGGCTGTCTAGCTTGAGTACTGAAAGAGAATTTACTTGAGCATGCTGCTTGTTGTCAACAAATCTTGCAGCTGAGTAGATTGGTCCACTTAGTGTTGGAGACTTAGTGCTCACAAGATTCATCAATCTTCCATAATCTGCTTTTGTTAGCTTGAATTCTTCCTGTGTTTTTGTGGAATCAACCACTGGAGCTGCATTTGTATATTGTTTGCTCTTTATACTGCCTCATCCAGCTCCAGTTGAGGTTGAGGGATATCCATGCTTGGAATAACATTTGTCTTCTGTATGTCCAAGTTTCTTGCAGTAGGTGCATTCAGCTGGCCTAATGGATGGATTGGATCCTCTGGAAGTCATCCCTGGAGGCCAACCATGCTTATGGAAGCAGACATCTTCCACATGGCCTTGGGACTTGTAGTATGTGTAGTATGGTCGAGCCTTTTTATTGGCAGCAATGTTGCTGGGAGAGGCAAGAGTGATGCTCTCAGCAGCAAGGGCTTGCTCTGGTTAGTACCATACTGTTGGCGTTCATGTTGAAGCATTCTTTGAAACACCCTGGCAATCAAAGGTAATGTATCTCCAAACAAGACTTGAGAACGCACAGTGGAATAGTTATCATTAAGACCCCGGAGAAACCTAATGACATAGTTGATGTCTCTGTAAATGAAGACATACTACATTGCCGTACACTACACTGTGTGTTGCTGGTAGGTGTACAAGTGCACGGATCCAAGGGTTGGTAATTTTCCAGTTCGTTTCTTAAGGCTATTAAGTCACCATAGTACTCAGTCACAGTTTGGTTACCTTGTTTGAGTGTAGCCAAGGCTTCAATTATCTTGGCAACACGAATCATGTCACCTTGACCATATTGAGCCATGAGGCTTCTCCAGGCCCCTGTCGCCGTTTTGATTGACATGATGGTCTTCCTGATGCTAGGCTCGACGGCTTGCTGGATCCAAGAGAGCACCATGGCGTTGTTTCTGTTCCAGGCCCAGGTTGTTGCGTGGTTAGCTGCTGGCTCTGCAAGTGTACCATCAGTGAAGCCAAGTTTGTTTTTGGCTCCAAGGGCATTGTGCATAGCTTTACTCCAATCA